AAGAGTTTCATGTAAGTTTCTGTTTCTTGAAAACTAGCTAGAGGAGGCTACATGCTTAATGCTTTATAAAATGTTGGTCACAATTAACAGGTAGGCTAAAATGAATGGATTCAGATCATGGAGCTGGCCACAGGACCAGATCCATGACATGGGCGAGACTGGATCTGGTGACAGAGAAAGAGAAGTTAGATGGGGGTCCTGTCACACAGATTCCTCCCAAACTCTCCAGTAGTGGGGGTATTAGACCATGCATGCATCTTTTAAGATTCATAGCAGATAATCTGAATTCGCCATAAATCCATGGCCATCCATGCAAAATGTGCCTCCTCGCTGCCTCTGAGCAAACCTAGCAATACTATGGAATCAGTCCTGTATGGATGTCGGTTACATATGCCCTCCATGTAATGGGAATGGGTAGCAGAGACTCCTTCCTATTAACAGATTGAGCTATTTATTACAAATAAAACTACTGGTGCTATCACTAAGGCTACACTGGTAGATGCATGTGTACTCTCTCTGAGTTTTGGGGGGTTTCAAAAGGCCAAAGACCTCTGCAAAGAGAAATAAATCCCAAATAATTACTGAGAAAGGAAAAAAGGTACAGATTCACAAGACCAACCACAGAGAGGTAACAGAAAGAAATGTAAGGTTTTTTGTTGACATGGTTATCTACAAAACAATTTGTACATTTTTTAAAACAGAATCACTAACAAAACCCAGTAACAGAAGTGAGAAATATAGTAAATATTCAGTTGACTAATCCCAGAGAGTATAATTTCTATAGAGTTCCACCAAGAACAAGCAACACACTAAATAGCCTTCTGCCTATTAAGGACAGTGAAACAAAATAACTTGCCAAAATGAAGAATTAGCAAAAAGAAAGTTAAAAAAAAAACAACAGGTAATTTATGGCATTAAACACATACAAAGTTGGAACTAGTCATAAAATAATAATGCTGCCTTATTTAAAACTATTATATAAATACAACTATATGCAAACAGTCATCCTTAAAATCTAAAACTGATACATACTCCTAATAAAAGGAACTTAAACATTGCGTTTTAAGAAGAGAAACAAAGTGTATTAACATTTGTGTACTTTGCAACAAGAGAAAAATATGAAGATTTCACACTGAATTCTAATCAACAAGAACAGAGTCAGATCTCACAAGGCTGAGGGGAAAAAAGTAAAAAATTGATTGCTTTAATTTTCACTACAGATGCAAGTCATGGAAGGTATGTAAACTGAGGTATAACTGGATAGCATCCCCAATCCCCACATTTTGGTTTCCCTTTAGTCAAAACTGTCAAACATACAACCCATGGGCTGGATTTGGTTCGCAAAGCTGTTTCATCCAAACCACCAGGCTCTAGCAAGCTAATGAAGTTTGGGGGGGGGGGTGTCTTAGAATTCAGGGTCCCTGAACCCCACTGGACATGGCCCTCAGCGGCAGGGAGGCAAGTGAAGAGTGACACAGACCTGCTCAACTGGCAGATGTCTGGCCCACCACTACTGGACCTCCTCTGCTAATACCAGACTTGTTACAAGCCACTGTTGGACCTGTGAGTCCATCCTAGAAGCCCTGTAGCCTGGATCTGGCCTGGGGCCTAGTATGTGTTTGACATGCCTTCCTTAAATAATTGTGAAGCAACTCCTTTCCCATGATTCCCATTTTTGTCTCCAGTGTAGCATGCAGCTTTCCACAATGCACTGAAAGAATACCTATATCAGCAGTTATCAACTTTTTAGATTCAAGGTTCTAACCCTTGGAAAATGCCAACTCTTTTAAGTTCTCACTCATTTTTAATTAAAGAAAAAACAAAAAAAAGAGCAACTCTTTTATTGCAACCCCCCCCCAAACAAACAAAAACCTACTCAGAAATACCACAAGAGGTCAGATTTTTTTTTAAACTCCTCAGTTTACCTTGTGAATAATGTTTGCACACATAACATTGCTAACACTGCATACTACCCCATGGCACCCTTCAAAGGATCTCAAGGCGCCCTGTTGACCTCAGCTGCAGTGTCCCTATTATGTATAGTGAACTATGCAGGACCATGACTTACTTTTGAGTATATGGGCATGCGCAGTCAGCCCTATTTTATGTAACTTACTTGTGGTGGGAAAATGTTGCCAGTCTTGGGTAGCGTGTACTTACCTGAGGTTAACTAACCATTGGATTGGTTAGTGGGATGATTGGCATGTGACTGACACTTCTCGTCTGAGTGATTGGTCAATGGAAGATTAACAGACGTGGAGCGATCGAAAGAGTTAAAAAGGGGATGATTCTGTGTCTCTCTGTTGCTGTCTGTAGTGTGTGCACGCGTGTGGGTATGTGTTGTTGAGAGCTGCTGTTGTAGAGCTGTGGTGTGTTGTGGTGTAGGTGGGAACATTGGTTGAGTGTGACAGTAAACCGAGTTGGGCTTTGGTAGCTATTGATGGTAAAGTATTACCCATTCCTGGAGTTGAGGACTGAACCTCGGGGCTGAGGAAAGTCCTGGCGGGAGTGAGGTTTGGAGGTTTTACTACTGGTCATAAAGGGAATCTGAGCCTAGTTTCTGGTATTAAGCTGTACTGTGCCTGTGACAGCTAGCAACACTGCAGCTATCCCAAGCCCGAGGGCACAGCTCTATTTTGCTCTCTAATCTGTGTTTATAGTCCTTTATAATCTATTGTATACAGTTGTATTATTGTTCTTTATACTTTTCTGTTGTTTTGTATTCCCTCTTTGAGACTGCTTAGTACTGTCTAGTCATTGAATCATTCATCTGAGTCTGTTGTCTTTGGTATCTAATTAGTATTTGGTCTGGCTGTAAGCTTATGGCTGGTATTGCAATAGGCCCCCACCAACTAAAGAGAGCAGGTGAATTTGCATAAGTTTGCGTAATTGGAGCCTTGTTCTCAACAAACCCAGGGTGCTGCAGCACCGCAATTGAGAACCACTGATTTTTACATAGTACCTCCCTTCCATTCATTCTTCCCCTTTCCTCACCCTTCTTTGCCCTTCACTCTCACAGTTGATTCTGTTAATTAAACTACTGGTGCCTGTATTAAGCAAGACCAGCTATAATTCCATAATTCATCATGAGCAGGCAAGTGCCTGCATCCCTTCCTTGCTTCAAGAGCTACTGCAGTAACTAAGGAATGAAGCTGTGAGCAGGCAAAGACAAAGACTATGTAGATTTGCAAGCAACTTGTCTCCCACCCTCAACAGACTTGGGCAGTAGCAAGAACCTGGCGCAGTATAAGATGACGTTTGGCAGCCCTCACTACCTCCTAGGGAGTCATCTGCTCTCCCCTCTGGCACTCCTAATGTTTCCATCCAACCAGCCAGGCCAAAGGAAAGGCAGCCTGTGGAGCCCAATGTTCTTCCTGCAGCAACTTCTACAAGGCCCCCTGGACTCACAAGTTTCCAAGCCCTGCAAAAACTGTGGGGTAGGATTTACACTTATGGATCAAGAGGAAGTTATTTTCAAATATTTTTCTTTAAGTGGGTTTTATTTGTATTTAAGCCTGCACATGTATTCTGTTAGTGATTTATGGCCTTAGAGAGGCTTTTGACTTTATTTTTAAAAGCATTTAAATTCACCTTTAAAGTAACTTAATATTCCATGCAAGACTGACAGCTGAAGCCAAGGATTCTATTACTAAGGCAACAACTGGTTTCCATTGAAGAAAGTGAATCAAAAAGAATTAATTTTGTACAAAAATAATTATATTGGTCCAGTGCCTAGCATACAGAGGCCCTGGTCCATAACTGTAGTTCTTAAGTGCTACCACAAAACAAGATACTAACAGACAAGAAAATAAGCTGTAAAGTTCATTTTTGCACTTACAGAATTGTCTCATTCACTATTCAAAGCCAGGAACAATCAGATGTCTACTAAAGCAGTGTTTTTTACCTTTTTTGATTTGCAGACCCCTAAAAAATTTTGAATGAGGGTGTGGACCCTTTTGAATTGTAAGTGTGCATATTCACATACTTTTGATGGATCACAGTCATCTTTCATGGACCCTTTACACATGGTTTCCAAAACCCCAGGGTCTGTGAACCATAGGTTGAAAACCACTGTACTAGAACATTCCATTTTTCAGAAAATCTTAATCTTATCTTTATCACTATTTATAACTTCAAATCAGTGTGAGCTCTGCCAGTTAAGACACCTAGAATTGTATTCCTGCAACCTATTTACATTTTCCTTGTCACTGCCAAAGAATTTCCTTTCCATATTTTGTCACATCTCATGAAAAATATTATTTCTGCTAGTTTTCAGCTACCATAACATTCTTTTGTCAAATTTGTTTGGCCCCATTAGTCCATCCATAGAGGTGTACCGATAGAGATTTTTGGGGCCGATAGCTGATTTTTAAAGAGGCATATCAGCTGATACTGATCTGATTTCTGACAGCAGCTGGTAAGCCTGGTGTGGTGAAAGGGGGGGGG